AGTAAATTTGAATTAAAGAGTTTAAGTATCTTACTGACAGCATGATAGCCAGTTGGGCAAGCCTTAGCTATAGGTCAAGTTTACTGCAACAAACTTTCTCATATTTCTAAGACTAGAGTGTAAAACAGGAAGAGGCATCCTGTGTGCATTCTGCTTACATCTTTCCAACAGACTGGTTTGTAAAGGATAGTGGTAGCAGTCAAAAGTAGCCAAAGGCCAAGTCGGTAGTTTGTTCTAAATTACAGAGTAGTCAACTTTTGGTAGATTTGGAAGATTAATAAACAGATTTTTTATACTAATAGAGAAAGGAGAATTGTATTGACAGAATGTATAGTAATAGAGTTTTACATGTTAGAAAGTTTTTCTAATGGGGGTGCATGTCTGATGCAAATCATGTCTGTTTCTTTGCTAGTTCTTGGGGCAGTTCATACTCTTTTTTTTAGCTTTTGCACACATTTCAGTATTCCAAACAGGCCTTTTTCCTCCCCTTTGATGGTTTACTTGCCATTTTCTTAATAATCCGTTTCTAAAGCATACATATCTACCATCCCAGAAAACAGTAACACTGGGGTCAGCAAAATGACTCAGCAGGAAAAAGCATTTGCCACAAAGCCTCATGACTGAGTTCCATCTCCACGACCCACATAACAACACTCCATGCCATGTTTAGCTGACACAGTAAAATAACTACAGAGGTTATTCCTCAAAGTCAGTGCAAGAGACCTCTACCCATATCTGTACTCCTTAATATATTAATGCTGAGGTAAATTATACATTAAGAATTGCTAATTTTAAGGCTGGAAGGTTAAGTCATCAGTTAAAGCACTTGTTACTTTTACTGAGGACTCAGTTTCTATTCACAGAACCACTCCAGTCTTAGGGAATCAATGCCCTCCTCTGACATCATTGGTCACCAGGCACACATATGAAGCAATTACATACATGCAGACAAAACACTCATACAAATAAGAAAAAAGATAAATATTTATTTCAAGTTGAGGTTTCAGATATAGATATATGTTGACTTATGTAAAATTAAGGGAAAGTCCCAACTGGTTGTTGTTTTGTTTTGTTTTGTTTTTTGTTATTGATAGAGTGCTAGATTATGATTTTATATGCAGCTTACCTCCATAGACTAACATTTATTTTCTACTCAACAGTTTTAGAATCTGGGGCTTAGGTGATCCTCAATAATTCTACTTGAGACATATTTTTAGATATCAAAATACACTGATTTCTCTTCTAAGTACTGTCACTACTAGTATTCCAAAATTCATTGTGTTTGAAGCAACATTTTATAATATGTCTATGGATGGGATCAAGTTCACACCCTTTTGTTAACTTGATCGATATGAAAGAACTAACTTACTGTGTTCAGTCACGTCTGCATATCAGCTTTACAAAGAATAGAATTGTTTTTCTGCAAAGTTTCAAGGGATTGGCACTACCCCTTAGTTCCTCAGGTCATGCAAGGGGTTCCATTGATACTGCTGCTACAGTCAGTCTAGCTGCAAGCTTCCCGTGCCATACAGCTGCAACTGTCAGATTTGAACCAAGCTTCTGAGTCCAGGTGGGAAGAAGTAGCAGTGTTTGCATGCATGAACTCTGACCTGATAGGATCGATCTACCTGTTGTAACCCCAAATTATATCAGAAGTCCCTTGCTTGTTTTAATTGCTAACTAACCGTTTAGTATAAAATCACTTCAGGCCAGTGCTTCAGGATCTTTGTCTTAGATGTAATATGCTGCCAGCTTACAGTTTGCTTCCCCATGGTATAGAACACACATCTTCACACCTGCTATTGATCTTGACTTTTGGATTTCCTTCTTTGTCACTGTTTTATAGCACAGATGTGTGTACCACTTGACCATTTGTTTCTATGTGTTTGCACGGCAAACCAGAAACAGAACTTTCATTCTATGATTTTTTTTTTTACTCTATATTATTTCTTAGATACATTACTCTATACCATTTATTTCTTCAGTGTTCTAAAGTCATCTCTACATGTTTATAAACATAAATCTTCCTTGTTCTAATTTCTCTAATACATGTTTGTAATTTCACAAAATGGAATTACACTCTTCTGGTTCAGTCTACTTTTATTTTATTGAAAATAGATTCTTCTCTTCTACTGTATATCCCAACCACAGTTTCGCCTCCCTCCACTCCTCCCAGCCCTCTCCCCCAGATTCACTTGCGCCCTGTTTCTCATTAGAAAAGAACAGGCCTCTGAGAGGTAACAAGCAAACATGACAGACAAAACACATTAAGACGTAGCAAGACAGGCTGGACAAGGCAACCCGATAGGAGGGAAGAGTCTCAAGAGCAGGCAAAAGAGTCAGAGACCTACCCGCTCTCATAATTAGAAGTCCCAAGAGAACACCAAGCTAATAGCCACAACATATACGCAGAGGACCTGGTGCAGACCCACATAGGCCCCGACCTTGCCACTTCAGTCTCTGAGCCCATGTGAGCCCTGCTTGGTTGATTCAGTGGGCCACGTTCTCCTGGTGTCCTTCTTGCCCTCTGACTCTTAGAATCTTTCCATCCCCTCTTCTGCGGTATTCTCTGAGCTCCGAGAGGAAGCACCCAGTGGAGACCTCCAGTTTAGACTCTTTCCACATAGTGTCTGGCTGTGGGTTTCTGTATGCACTCTCATCTGCTGCCTTTTGATGATTGGACAAGGCTTTGATCTATGACAATATCATAAGGAATCACTTTGATTTTTCTTGTTTTTGTTTTTGTTTTAGAACAGTTGTGTTTGGTTCTACCCTAGGTCTCTGTGCTATCCAGTTTCTGGTTCCTAGCCACACAAGCAGTGTAGGACATGGGCTCCCTCTTATAAACGGAGTCAAAATCAGATACTGGTTGGCCATTCCCACAAATCCTGTACCACCATTTCCCCAACAATCAGCAGGACAGATTGTAGGTCAAAGGTTTTGTTGACTGGGTTGGTGTCTATGTATGCTGAGAAATGCTTTCCTAATAAAATATCATGTATACTTAAAAGAAATTTGCAGGGGCAGGAGAAATAAGCGTACTATTCTCTGAGGGTTCAAAATATCTAGACATTTCTCTCATTAGCCATAATGTGATGACTAAACACAGCGGTTATAATCTATTCAGATACAACATTGATTTAAAAAAAAGTGTATTCCTTATCCAACTGTTACTTAGTGATATTTTTACACATGTAACATATCTAGGAAACAAACAATAAGAATCGAGGTATTTCAATGAGTTTTAATGTCATTTGTGGGGGACCAGCCCCACTTTTACGACCAGGGTACTCTTGAGCAGGGAGAAGTGAGGAATGTTTAGATAGAAAGAGATACCTAGATGATGAGAGGAAAGACAAACACAGGACAGCCTTGGGAGGGCCTGGGTCAGTATCCAACTGCACAGAACTTTATTCAAGAGCTTTTTGTAACAATGCCAAGGGGAGGGGCAAAAGACCTCCCCATTGATACCCCATTAAGATACCACTAAGTGTAGACCCTTCCAAACACCTGGCACTCAGGCCCATGGTCCAATCATCCCCTTATGCAGCCCTGCTGGGTAAAGCCACTAGGAAACCTTGGTGGGCTACAACATCATTTTAGAAAAGTATCTATATCAAAATGTTTTTAAAATAGCCGGGCGGTGGTGGCGCACGCCTTTAATCCCAGCACTCTGGAGGCAGAGGCAGGCGGATCTCTGTGAGTTCGAGGCCAGCCTGGGCTACAAAGTGAGTTCCAGGAAAGGCGCAAAGCTACACAGAGAAACCCTGTCTCGAAAAACCTAAAAAAAAAAAAAAGTTTTTAAAATACTATTTTCTCACATCTTTATCTTCATATTTCATATTGACTTTTCTAGAGAAATGTTTTTACAAAAAAACTGGGTTAAAACATGCAGGGTTTTAAATGCCTTGACATAATTCTTATAGGAATTTAATATTTAGTTTAAAAGTGACAATATAAAAAAATACTTTCAAAACTGATCTCTATATCTCCATTTTTGTTCCTTTTTGCTATAACTAAATAGAACTTGGATTAGTCTATTTCTTTATAACAGATTTGTCGGTTTTATCCATTGAATTTGTCAAGTCCTTTGATACTGCTACTTGAAATGAAAATAGCTCTAACAATGGCTCAGTGGGTAAAGGTACTTGCCACACAAACCTGAATACCTGAGTCCAGTTCCTGGAATCCATGGTGGAAGGAGAAAACTGACTATGAAGTGTTGAGATCTGTTACATATGCACCATGGAGCATGCACACACAGCATATGGACACACAATATGCATACATAATAATAGTGATTAAAGTCTTTTAGAAATGCAAGTAAGTCTGTATTTGATTTATAAAAATAGCAAATCTGTCTTCTTTTATATATGACATATATATTCCTATTAAGTAATATTCACAGAAGCCTAGAAATTCCTCTTGGTTTTGAATAAAAATAGTGCTTGACTAGAAGATCTGATAGCTTCAGGTCAAATTTTTTGTTGTTATAAGCTATTGCTAAAAGCTAGATTGAACATTGTTAATCCAGAATCCTAAATGCCCCCCAAATCCCAAAGTTGTTGGCTACCATGATTCCACATTTGGAACATTCTATACCTGACCTTATATAACAGGTCTCAAACAAAATGTTACTGTATTAAAAATACTATGAAATTATTTCTAGGATATGTACATGAGGTATGTATGAACAGATGAGTTCTGTATTTGGATTTGCTTACCATTCTCAGAGTATCATTTTGTATCTGTAGATAATTCCAAACTCCAAAAGCACTATCTAAAACCTAAAACACTTAAAAATTTCCAAAACTGTTGTGTGTGTAGTGAGAGAGAGTGGCATAGGATAGACAGAGAAAGAGACAGTTTGCTTGTATTCTTTTATTATTCGCATACCCTGTATTCTTAACAGTTATTGTCTCAAGAAGTAGTAAAAGGAAACATTAGAAAAGTCTTGTATTTTTACTGTTTTGATAATATTTTTCCTATCTTAATGCTAGGTCTTCAAACATGAGCTAGCTTACTTACTGACTGGGATTCTTGGAGCAGCAATAGATTATTGGATCTTCCTTGGTATTCAGATGGGTAGAAATGTGATCCGACACATGTCTGATGACTTAGGAAGTTATATCTCCCTTTCCTGTGATGGTAAGTTTCTTTATTATGGTTTCATTTTAATCACTCATTCTGAAAATCAGTTTTGAGTTTCCTTCAAGAAGTCTATTTTTTACAGTATATTCATATGAAGATTTCTTTGAAATAATACACAGATGTGTACCTATAGAGACAGTATAAAAAGAAATAGAAATTTTTTCTTTAATGCTTCCATACAGAGAGCTTCTATCTTCTTTTTACCTGAGAATTTACATTGTTGAACTTGTATTACATATAACATTTTAAAACATTTATTTATTTATATAATTTATTTGCTTTTATGTGTATTGGTGTGAGGGTGTCAGATTTCCTGAAAATGGAGTTACAGACAGTTGTGAACTGCCATGTGGGTGCTGGGCATTGAAACAGGGTCCTCTGGAAGGGCAGCCAGTGCTCTTAACCTCTGAGCCATCTCTTCAGCCATAAACATTTACGTTTTAGTAGTTTTTGAGAATTTCATTGAGTACTGAATTTATACCATTTCAGTCCCACAACTCCCTGCTTGAATTCCTCCTGTGACTCCTCATCCAACTTCATGCCCTTTTCTCCTTTGTTATTGTTTTGTGTGTGTGTGTGTGTGTGTGTGTGTGTGTGTTCATACATATGTGTTGTAGGATTAAATCAGGGCTCATCCAGGGAGAAGACTTTCTTAGCAGGCATTAATTACCTGTATTTCTTTTCCTAGGGGTGGGACCTCTTGAGAGTCCTCCCATCCACATTGGACGTCAGCTGGTGTTCTCGTTGTGCAGGTCTTGGTTTGGGGACCGTATTGTTGTGCTTTCATGGGTGCGGCTCCCTGTCGTATATAGAGGAGATGTGTATATGTATATGTATATGTGTATATCTGTCTCATTGAAGACATTCCTGGGCTATTAAATTCTGCACCCTTTCCCATTGTGTTCTCTGAGCCTTTTCTGTAGAAGTTAGGTTGTAAATGTATTGATTGGGAATGGGCTCCCTGTTTTTAACCAAATATGGATTTCTGTGATGGTCTCTGTTTTTTGAAGAGAATAAAAGCTCTTTGATGAAGGATGGAAGCTACACTTATCTGTGGATGTAAGGGTAGGCATTTTGAATACACTCACGAATTACACTGGTCAGGGAACATGGCACTTATGTTTTCCTCTATGGTCCATTACCTCACCAACCACAGGTAATTAGCTAAGTTAGCAGTCACCAGGCATGTCTTCTCTCCTATTAAACTTGCCTAAGGATCATTTAGATGGCTGTTGGTTACCCTCTGAGTTATTAAGTACAGTAACCAATTTTTTAATTGAGAATCTTGGATTTTTTTCTAAAGGCCGTTTCTACATCTGTTGAGATGTCCATTTTGATTTTTTTTTGCCAAATCTATTTGTGATTTTTTACATTTATTGACTTACATATATTGAACCATCCTAGCATCTCCACAATAAAGCCAGCTTTATTTGAGTAGATGATCTTTTTGATAAGCAGGTGAAAATTTATATTCTTTTTCTCTAAACATTGCATACTTTTTCTAAATATTTTTGATAGTTTTATATAATGTGAATATTTAGATGCTAGTGTAGAAAATACTACCAGTAAATACATTATTGTTTGGCTATATATGCATCATATATAAAAAAATGTTAATGTTTTTCTAGTCCTATAACAAAAAATTATAGAACATTATAATTTACACATTTAAAATCAGTTCCCTCCTGTTTAATTGTGATGGCATGGTGACTCGAGCCTATAATCCCACACACAAAGACCTGCACAATGACACCACCAAATGACACGCCAGTGTGGGAATCTCACAAGGCATACCTTAAATGAAGAGCTGCTGGATATTAATGGCTGCTAATAAAGGGAGAATCAGTTTTCTGTAAAGACTTAGCAGATTATCCAGTCACTCTTGAATTTTAACAGAGGGGGTAGAGAAAAGGGAAGATTTTGCTCCAAGGAGAAGTTGATTGTCACAACTGAGGAAGAAGATGCTAACTGGCACCAATGGACAGAATTTAAGGAGGCTACAGATATCAGGAATAGCCTCCTGTACCAAACAATTCCCCAGCGAAAACACTAGTACACCTTGGTATTTGACAAATGAATGAATGACTCATAATAATTCATACTAGAAAGCCAAGATAGGACAAACCTTAAAATACTTACAGGTCATGTCAGTCACCTTGGGAAATGTCATAACCAACTTTTGGGTCTGCAGAACAGGAAGGCTTTCCTAAAACTTCCATTACCTGACTGCATAACCAGCTTCAGAAGTTCCTTCTTTCCTCCTTCATACCTGTCGCCTTTAGTTTCTAATTTTTCAGCTACAGGAGCTGTGTGGCCCCCATGTCAAGAACATGTTTTCTTACATACCAAGTTGTCTGTTGTTTGGACTGCCAGATAAACAATTTTGCACACATTTTGCAGTACATCTTGGTATGTTGAATTTCTTGATCTAGTTGAATCTTTAGGTAATAGGAATGCAGTTTCTAATAACTGGATTCACAATTTATTCAATGATACCGCCTGTAAAAAGAGGTTTCTTTATTCTACCAAAGTTAGAAAATTTTTATCATTTTATCTCCTTCCTGTTTCTCTTTCATTGAGCTTAGGAGGTGATTACTGTTCCTTTTTTAGACTAGATATCATTTGTTGAGTGGCTTTTTAACATTTCTTAGCTCAAATTCAATCTTACCTTAAAATTTTATCATTTCTTTCCAATCATTTCTTCTAGGTGAGTTAGTGGTTTTTAAAAATCACAATTTTGGTATAATTTGCTAGAATGCCAGGGAATTTAGCTAACAATTCCTTGTTTTCATCCAATAATGAAAGTATTAGCATTAGCATTACAGACTGTCAATATAGTTTTATGTGTTGTTACCAATGTCTAATAGTTGCCTTTAATGAAATCTAACTTATACTTTAGCCAAATGAATGAAACAATAGCCCTTGCATTAATGGAGAATCAGTTTATAGAACATTATTATATGCTACTGCTTCAGTGCTTCTTTATTCATATTCTGGATGGCTCTTCACTCCAAAGTAAGGCATTCGCTGTGCCTTACTTACTTGGAAAGTTACTCTGTCCTCGCATGACAGATTTAAACCCTAGCAGTTGGAACCTGTGGCTGATGACTGATTTGAGCTAAAAATTTAGCATTAATATCACTCTTAATACTGTGAGCACAATCATTAATTTGGTGACAGGGATTCATCTTTGTTCACCAATTTAAAGCTCTAGATGAAGTTGAAATTAAGCCATTATTTGAAGTGAATTTCCTTACTCTTTGCTTACTCTTCTCAGTGTGCACAGCAGCAGTGTAGCTCAGTGGGCAAACGCATTTGCTGCCAGGCTGGGTGACTTGAGTTTCATTCTTAGGATCTACATGGTAGAAGGAGAAAACCAATTCTACAAAATAATCCTTTGGCCTCTGTGTATGCGCGTGTGTGTGAACACACACATGGAGAGTCTGAATAAGAAGCTGCAGTGAAAAACACACACAAATATAGAATTGATTCCATAGGTTTCAAATTATGGAGTGGGTAAACCATTTAAAAATTTTTGACATATTTTTAAAAATAATCCAAATTAGTATCTTCCTACGTTTTCACTCAAGAGAGCTTAGTGTTTAAGGTTTGTCAAAAGACAGGAATAAAGTAAATAGTTTAATCTTAAGACAGAAGCAGCCTTTCTGTATTCAAAATACAGTTGAAATATTCATCTATTATGGAAGCTTTGGAACACCAGACTTTCCCATGTATTTTAATAATGTCTTTTTTGTTCAAATCTTTATGAAGAAATTTGAAAATCATTGTTTGCCAGTTTCTTTTGTTGTTGTTGCTGTTATATCTTGGTGGATATTCCTGCCTGTTTTGTTTGGGTATGTTTTGTTTTTTACAATAGTTCAGTTATTCTCCTCTGTATTTTCTGACTCACTGGTAATATGGTAGATTTGGCTGTTGTGTCATTTTCATTTGAAGATATCAACTCACCTTCCTCATTTATGGTTAGTATAGTTGCTGAAGTTTACAATTATTTTATGAGAATTAAGGCAGTATATTTCAGAAGACAGTTATAATCCTTCTTTTCATTAGATCTCATGCCCATCACTTTCACATCAGAGCTATAGTATTGGTTTTTTTTTTTCACAACACTTCAGACAGAATTTCCTTTCTGCATGTTTAACTATCTAAATTTCATTTTTATCCTAACTGAAACTCTTGAGAAACTAGCTTCAGATGGGGATTAGATTTTTCATTTATGTAAAAAAATCAGGGTAAATATTCCTTGCTCTATAGGCCTAGAAGCTGTCTTGATAAAACCACCTTACACAAAGGTAAATGATAATGGCGTGTTACAGTAACACTTTGCTCATATTCCTTTGCTGATCTGTTGGTTTTGATGAGAAAAAACATGTGTCGTTCCAACAGTCCCATGGCCGTACAAGTGGATCCAGTTAAATTGGTGGCTGTGGGAGCATAGACTTCTACCTAGGCCTTTATTCCACTGATCTCTGTATCACAGCTTCTTATACTGTGCTCTGTTGTTCAGCTTTAGCTCTTTTAGTATCCTGTTGGTTGATCTCTTCCTTTGTCATTGTAGTGTGTTCTTTATGCTGCTGTTTATATGGAAAGTTTAGTAGAAAGTTATATCATTAAATAGATGACATGAAAATCCGCTACCTTTGTAGTTGATCTCCGTCAGTTAATCTCTCTGTATACTAATGAAGTTTTGTCTTAACACTTGAAGTTTTGGATAGAAAAGATTTAAGGATATTCATGGGTTTTGTTATTTTTCATAAATTAAAATTACCTCATTGTAGAGTGGGTGCAAATTTTAATGAAATCTTCACTTATTTGTTTTGTACATTTCTTCTTTACTTGTATATGTCCTCTAACTTGTCAGTGATAAAAATCAATGAGTAAATCAGAGGAAACTTCTTTCCATCAGCTCAAGACTGAATGTTACAAATTTGTTACATGTGTGCATTTTAAATAAAACTAAGGGCCCTTGATACCTTCCTGTAATCCTAGCACTTGAGAGTGGAGGAAGGAGAATAAATAGTACAGGGTCATTCTCAGCCACATAGAGAATTCAGAGGGCCACAGAAGATCCTGTCTTAAATAAATAAATAAAAATATGTACTCAGTTATTGGCCATGGCACATCTTTGCCCTCAGAGACAGACGTAGAGAGATTGTGAGTAAGGCCAGCCTGGATCTCACAAGATTGTGAGACCTTGTGTCAAAAGAAAATTGAATCAGTTCATTTTTTTAATTAAATGAATTAATTAAAACTAAGAACTAGTTTTCCAAAAAGGATCCAACTTGAGATTGTTAATGTTACTTGGAAACTCAAAGGTAAAGTCTCCCATATTGATATAATGATGTAACCATATACTCTATTCTACATACATGGTTTTGTTGTTTTTGTTTGTTTTGGTTTTTAGACAAGGTCTCACTATGTAGCTAAGGCTGCCCTAGAACTATGTAAATTAGGTTATTTTGAATTCACAGAGGTCCCTGTTTTTGCTTCCTGAATGCTAGGATAGGCATGCACTAGCATATCTGACACTCTCTAGATATGATTTTAAGAATTTTAATTAAAGTGATAGCGTTTGTTTTTCAAGTGCTGGCATATGTACCATAAAATTTCTTTTGAAAAACAAGGAGGAGTATGTGTATATATGTGTATGATATATTATTATGTGCACACACACACACCATCCATAGTGGTTCAAAATTATAACTAAAGTTTACTGGCTTAGGAAATAACACTCATTTGAGTAGCACCCACTGCAAAAATGAGGAAAATGTATAAGGTGGAGCAGTGACTGTATTTACTTGTTGTTACAGATTTTTCTTCACAAGAACTAGAGACCCTCATTTGTTCTTTCTCATCTTCCTGGCTTCAGATGTTTGTTGCAGAAGCCATCTTCAAGAAGCTGTGCTTACAGGGCCCCACCAGTGCCTGCGCCACCGGGCCGCTCTCTCTCCAGAAAATAGTAAGCACTGCCCTATTCAGGTTCTTCTCTTTTTTCCTAAGAAGTGAGTTCATGAGTTCACTTTCAATTCTTAGTTATTTCTCATAAATAATAAACGTGTTCTGTGGGCAGAACACAACTCATAAATCTCCCAACACATTAAAGAGCTGGTATTTTCTATCTCAAAAACAAAGTAGTAGAGCTGGAGAGGTGGCCCAGTGTTCTTCCAGGGGCCCAAGTTCAGTTCCTACCATGTACAGGTACATGTACATGCATGCCCCCCTCCAAATACACTCACAAATAAATAGTAAAAACATGTCTTTTCAGAGATAGATTAGTGAGTAGAAATTTTGATTATTTGGGGGGAATAAGTAGAAAAAAGTATTTCTTGAGATTTGCCATAATACATAATACTTTGAAACTACATCCAACATTTTTTTGTACTTGACATTTAAAAATGAAAACTTGGAAAGATGTATCCTATGTCCATACACATATATAAGCGGCACTTGCTCCCATTTTCTGTTGTCTTTAGACACTAAGGTCTAAAGCTCTGGAAGTTTCTTCAGCAAGCATCAAGTCCCTTTGTTTATTGAAATGCTGGGCAAATTGCTTTGCAACAGGCCATGCTTGAAGGATATTTTCACTCCTTATTCCATTTACTCTGGACTTATCTTTCTGTTGAAGAAAACCATTAGCAAAATTAAAATAACAAAATACCTGTTGTCTAGAAGTCTTAGGTACGAAAATATGTAAATCATTATTATAAGTTGGATATGAGACTTAATCAAAAGAACTTTTCTAAATGTATATTAAGATTGAACTAGAAAGTGTAATTATTTTATAAAGGTATCTTCATCTGCAAGATATTGACAAAATAATTCCATAGATAATTACACAGAACTGGCAGTTTTAATATTTAGTCATACTTAGAGAAGATAATGTGGCAATGCTGTTGTGAAATCAAGAAAATAAAACCAGACTTGTTAGTAAAATGATCAAGTAATTCATTTTATTGCTCTTTGTAGTTACAGTAATAATATAATCTTACTTTGTAACAGATAGACTCCTATTTGCCTGTTTTGGGAGAAATGGACATACATAGGGCTGGAAAGATGCAGTTGCCAAAAAAAATCGGCCAGCGGCATTGCCTAGAGTCTCAGAGAGCGTTACTAATGCTGAATGGCGCAAAGCAAAAACAAGCTGAAGGTCGGCCAGAATTTCCGTAAGTAATGCTGTTGCTGCAGCTGTACTTTGTTTTGGAATATGGCTTTTTTTCTGACCTTTCTTGAACTTTAGGTTATCTGGGGTATTGTCTGCATTATATTGATTGGAAGAAAACTCAGTTTTAGACCTATAAATACGTAAGATCAGCACTTTCTTTTACTGTGACGCAGAGACCACACTTCCCTCCTGCTAAGTGTGTCCCAAGAGAAATGAAACTATTAATCAATCTGTTTCATACAGATGTTTTCTGAAACACGTGGCACTACTTATTTTTGTAATATAAGTGAGGTTTTTGGATATGGAGGCCTACATTCTTATTTAGCTTTCAGCTTTATTTTCTCTACCAAATGTGATTTGCTTGGTTTCTTCTTTGCCCAACATTCTATACTCATTACCTTTTTAGTGAGCAGTTGGAGGTATAGACTAATAAAGTGAAAATTAATGCATCAAAATTTGTTTCTATATAGCTGACATCATTTTAAAAATTGGAAAGCAATGTGATTGAATGAGTAAGTGGTTTAAGTGGAAAGGAGGAGGAAAACTACCATCTTATGTATGCTGGCATGCCTTACTGAAAAACAAGCTTCCCTTGGTTTTCTTTCTTTTCAGAGAGTTGAACCGTGCTAAATGTTCCTCGTCATTGAAAAAATTGAAGAAGAAGTCAGAAGGAGAATTGTCATGTTCCAAGGAGAATTGCCCCTCTTTGATTACAAAGATGAATTTTCACAAAACTAATCTAAAAGGTATCCCAAGGATCTGAGTTAACTTATGCTAAGAACTTTTCATGGTTGTAGTCAGTACTTGCAAATCTCACACATTTGCCCTGATGAATGTTTTCACTTAAATACTGGACTAGGTCCAGGAAATACCTTCATAGTATTTTATTGAACTCATTTATGTAAACGAAGTTGTCATGTAGCACCTGGTTAATAGAATGTCCCTCCCTTTCTGTCTCCCCCGGCCTTTCCAGATGCTCATTGGTGTGTAGCGCTCATTGAGCTCATTCCAGACTTGCCCTCCTTACCTTGCTCTTCCACATCAACCTGTGCTGCTTAGGATCAGTGTCTTCTGATTTGAAAGTATAATTCACTCTTCCTCTCTTTTCAGTCCTACACATTTTGTGAACAAAGAATGAGGAGTAGGCTACGTTACAGAGCCGTGTTAAGCATATGGGCTCTTTTCTTCTAGGCACTGAGCCCAGACTGAAATGTGTCTGGCTTTTGGTTCTAACTGTACTGGAGCCTAAGTGCCTAATGGATGGAATTTCAGGAATAGTGCTGTGATCATTCACTCTAGCTCCTCTTTACATAGATAGCTCATAACCTGAAGATATGTTATCTACAAGGCATCTCTTCTTAGATAAACTAAGTTGCTAGATTTACAAATTGTTCTTACTTACAAACTGTATCATATGTATTAACTCATGATATGTATTAGCTCCTGAAAACAGTTGACAGCAAAGCTTTTACGATCTTTCTGTGTGATAGTTTATAACTGCCCATTTAGCTCGAAATATGAAGACTATTAGGTGAGAACTCAGATATTCACTTCAAAGATTAGTGCCTATTTTCTTTGTTTTATTGTTTCAAAATGGAAAATGAATATGAATGACTTTAGGCTGAACAGCAGAAGGAGTTGGGAGAGAAAGAAAATTGAGAAATACTGAAAAACTTGAAGAGACTTCCTATGCTTGTAGAAGGAATGCTCAGTAGAAGTTGCAGAGATAATCTGTAAAACTGAGCACTATAAAAATGTGCTACTCGGTATTTTATAGCAGGAAAAAATTATGTCCATGTTTCATTTTGTTTCCTGCAGTCACTGACAAGTATTTAACCATTTTTCTTAATGTCAAATTATGACTTACATTTTACTATTCTTAATTATAAGAGAGATTATGAATCAATAATTTTGACCAGCAGCTACGTACTACATTCCTCCAAGCAAAAATTGTGCCGTTCAATGTGCTAGTGTTATTCACCTTTAAGTGACACATAAGGACCTCCCCCCCCCCCCTCTCTCTCTCTCTCTCTCTCTCTCTCTCTCTCTCTGCGCGTGTGTATGCGAGTGTGTGTGTGTGTGTGTGTGTGTGTGTGTGTGTGTGTGTGTGGTGTTTATATTAAGATTCTTCCATTTCTCCCTCTGTGCTGCTGTAGCCAAGCCAGACAGCCTATTGAGAAGCAGCAAACCATCTGTTAATGGATTTGAAGTTCTGAATTATACTTGAGTATGTGGAGGCACTCGTGCTTAGCCAGGAACATTCATTTGAATTAAGCTATAAATGCTGTATAAGAAAGAGCCCTACATTTAGCGGAGGTTCATGAATAAATTTAAGAGAGGGCAATTGCGCTTTAAAACTTTTATTGCTGCAGAACCAAGTATTTTTGGTGTTTCTGTCATTTGGGGTTTTTATAGCAGGATTGAAGCTTTAAACCTTGAACTAGGGAGAGACAATGCCTGTGTTAAAGCTTTAGCTGTAGAATTTCATCGCCGAATTGCTGACAGAACAGAAGCTCTGGATTGCTGGGGTCCCCGCCCACCCGCCTTTTTTTTTTTTTTTTTAAATTCAAGAGATGTTTAAACCAGTCAGAAGGAAAACTCAATAAATAATTGTCTGGCATGGGTCCAGAGCTTCTAGTTCATGGCCTTTGATTATTTTCTTTGGTTGATATCTTGTCTTCTCTGGAATAATCTATTAATTTTTTATGGCAGGAGAAACAGCTCTGCATAGAGCTTGCATAAAAAACCAAGTGGAGAAATTGATTTTTCTTCTCTCTCTGCCAGGAATAGACATCAATGTTAAAGGTAAGTTCTCTAGGTCTTTGTGCTCTCATTCAGTGTCCTAAAATTTATCATACAAAGTAGTTTTATGTCACATTAAGAAAAACCATTTAAATTAATTTACTGAAGATACTTTAAAAATACCGTTAGCAGCCAAGCCAAAATAATTCTTTATGTGATAATTTAGAGCTAATAATATAAAATATTTTAGTCGTAATTTTTCTGGTCATATTCTAACATTAATATTTTGAAGTTGCTTTTTATTTATTTTCATTTTCTTAAATAGAAATATGATTACACTGTGTTCATTTTCACCAAAGCTGTTTTTCATATATGACGCTCCTACAGAGTAATAGGATGGTAGTCATAGAATATCAATACTTTGCAACCAACAGTACTACTTCTGCTGTTTTAAAACTTGCCTTGATTTCTAATTTAGACAATGCTGGCTGGACGCCTTTGCATGAAGCCTGTAACTATGGCAACACAGTGTGTGTCCAGGAAATTTTGCAACGTTGTCCAGAGGTAGATCTGTTCACTCAAGTGGACGGGGTGACTCCTTTGCATGATGCACTGTCAAACGGACATGTAGAAATTGGCAAGCTGCTCCTACAGCACGGGGGTGAGTGTGTGTGTGTGCTAAATGGATCTTGGTAAATTATCTAGGCTTTTGATAAATCCCTTGGAGGCAGATAACACTTTATGTTTAAAATCTATAAGGAAAGATGCTTTTATTTCTTAGTCATGGAAGGGTAAAGACAAAAAGCCTCCTAAAATATAGCCACCCTTTATTAGCTGTTGTTAGAATCATTGTATAATATATATGTACTATTAAAACCTATGTTCAGTTGAACATGTTGGTTTTTAATATTCCATTTACTTAACATATATGATGTCTTTGTGAACTAGGCATTTCTTAAAGCTTTGGAGTCAGTGTTTCTTGTGACTACTCGGTTCTCCATTCTTGTTTTATTGCATATGTATGTATAACTCTCGAGCCAGTGTTGTCTTTATAAGGTATTCCTTTATAGAGTATGGAAAAGATATCCAAGAATATTTTCTCATTCGTATTTGCAGTCTTAAGTTGAAGTCAGATTTTTAAATGGTAGTGAGTGTAATGCACTGATTTTGTGAAGAGTCTAACTTAAGCTTCATATCTATCTACTGCTTTTCCTGACTCTTTATTTTTACCTTCAGCAACTCCTGTCTTAGTAATGTTTCTACATATGAACTGTTACAAAATTGTGCTTCAAAATATTCAACCTAATTTGTGTTTTAAAAAAGAAAACTGATAACTAGCTTCTAATGAGAAAAACAAACCTTTGTGTAAATCTATTGCTTTTATTGTGTTAATTTTAACTTAGAATTTGATGTATTTATGTTGTAAATAAAGTATTTATTTCATTCTGTGTAAAAACAAAACGCATATTCTTTATGTGGGTTTTTGTTTGGTTGGTTGGTTTTGGGTTTGGGTTTTGGTTTTTGAGTTTTGAGGAGGGGAACATTGCTATGTACATCCAAGAAAGAATGTATTGCATGATGGCTTGAAAGACTTGGTTATTTATAGTCTTCTCCTGCCCCCTAAAGGCTAAGTGTGTCTGTTTCACCATCACTGTTTCATAATTGATAGATTTTTGTTTTTCCACCTTCTTTCTTTAATACTATTTGTTCTCTAAACCTGATGCTTTTCCTATTAAATAACCCTGTTTTTCTACTCAAAGATTTAATCCGACATTCTAGTGAATACTTGTTTCTGTATCAAATGATATAAGTGATATGAGGTATTACTGTATGAAGTCCAGCTTATTAGTATAGTGTAGTGTTAGGTCAGCCAATGCGAATTTTACTAACAAAGAGCAGTAAGTGGTGATTCTCTGATTTAGGAGAGAAAACCTGCTTGTACTTGATGTTTGTCAAGGTCCATTGGCTAACATGCTTGGTTGTTTGTTTGTTTGTTTGTTGTTTTGTTTACTTAGCCAGTCAGATTCCAGGTTTGGATCTGTCACATGGCTTGGCATTATCACTGTGCTAAAGTTATATGAATATTAATTTCAAGACTTTCAGGGTTGAGAGCAATAATTTCAAGGTATATATTGCCAAACTTTATTTATTTCAGGTATTCGTATTTTTTTCCTAACAGGAATAAGTTAGAATATTTTACTTTTGTTTTGCAATGTTAACACAAAGATAGATAATACAATTAGCATTTGGAATTCTTTTCTCTACCAATTATACATCAGTCATGTAATTCATTATATGTGTGGTCGTAGTCATCATTAAGAGTTTTAGCACTTAATCTATTCTCTTTCTGGTGGTTTGGTCCATGTTATAATGATAGTAATTTCCTGTCTTGTCTCCAGTTGTACCTTCATATCCCAGGTAACATTTCTTGTACAAGATGGACTGACGAGCACAGATTACTGCTGTACTGTGTTACATGGCTGAGTCCTAGGTTGTTGCTTTGCACTTCTCACGGCCTTTAATACTTAGGGGTAAACTTGAGTCCTTAGCATTTGACTACTTTGCAAGTATTAACTCTGACTGTCGGCAGGGTTTTTTTGTTTTTGTTTTTGTTGTTTTGATAGCTAGATGAACTCTTGAGTTTAATAGTTTTCACATTGCCGAGTGGTTTATCAGTAATGGAAAGGAGACATTTTTTTCCTTTTTCCCCGAACTTATGCTAAGGCATTTTATTAATTTCTTCTGTGAATATTGAAAGTCTTGTTCTTAAGGTGGCTGCAGGTAAGGTGTTAAAAGCTGTTTCATTTATCATCACTTTTCTAAGTAGAGTATGTCCTTTCAAGCAGATTTCCGTAGACAGGTAACTAGAATTTTAAATTTGTAAATACACCTCTATTAGTCTATATAGGCAGTTATGGTCTGTGTGGCCAGCTAATTAGTAGAACTGTGGAGATAAACAGAGCCCTGTAAGCTTTGGGGGCGGGGGAAGAAAACAGCTGTTAAACTGCCAAAATAAACATGTTTTACTATTAACATTGTCCATTTCTTTTTCACAGGCCCAGAGCTTTTACAGCAGAGGAACTCTAAGGGGGAGTTGCCCTTGGATTATGTGCTGTCGCCTAAAGACAAGGAAGAACTATTTGCCATCACCAATATAGACGATACACTGGACAACTTTCACGCTCAGACACAGAAACGTTTCTATCACCAGCAGCTTGAATTTGGTTCATTTTTACTTAGTAGGATGTTGCTTAGTTTTTGTTCAATATTTGACTTATCTTCGGAATTCCTCCTAGCTTTCCAAGGGTTGGCTCATCTGAGCGAGCTGCTTACAGCATGCAGCAGTGACACAGAGCCCCCCAGTGCACACGCTGACTGGTTACTGGATCTGTACGCTAGAAACACAGAGACATTGAAGAGGCTCCCAGATGTTCTTAAGGGATTGCCAGCGAAGCTAAGTGGGAGTCCTGGAGTACACACTGAGGCCTTGTTGGTGACGCTGGAAATGATGTGTCGGTCAGTCACAGAGGTGTCATGAGGCCAGAAAATGCAAGTCAGATTCTAAACATGCAGCTTGCTTTGCCACTTAGGGTAGTCATAGCTTTTGGACAAGGGACAGACTTACAGCAGGTCTTCACAGCCCTTAAAAACATCTGCAGAACTAGAGTATGGGCTCCCTCTCCAGTGCTCAGAGTTTAACTCAGAAAGATACAGTAATAAAATGAAGTAGTTTTGTTGGGTATAGAATGCTTTTATTAATCTTTAAAATACTTTGTTCTGAAATATTTATTTATATTGTTTATGCAGAAAATTAAATATTTTTCATATCAAAATGTCCTTTAAGCACTATAGGTTTTAAAATCATGGTAAGGATATTCATTAAAATGTGTATCTATATACTTGTGAAACTTGTTTCTCCTTTTTAGGCTAATGTCTAAGATGAACTTGCTTTTCTGTGTTTCTAAAATAAACCTTTCTAGAATTTTAAATTATATTTAATAATCTTTGGTTTTTAAATGCTACAATATATACAGTTTTAACAGTTTAGTTCTTTGAACAGTTGTCGTTTAGCAGTGCATGCATGAAATATGTTTCTGTTCGCTTAACCAGTCTTTTATCAGTGAAAATGTTTTACCACGTAAGTTTTATTAAATATTATAATTAAAATTTACAATTAAATTGGCAGTGGAATAATGGGTCTGAGGTTATCTGAAATTTTATTATGTAGTATGGATTTGCAGATTAGTGTTTCAGTTTTTTCCCTAGTAGTTTATAACTTAAAAGACAGAGTGTGAATATTAACCACTTAAGAGATTGGAATTCCTTCACTGTTGGGAGGAAGTTACATTGTGTTGTACATGGGGAAAAGAAATTACAACTTAAATCTAGATGTTATGTAATGTGATTGCTGATCCAATAGCAATTAATGTGTTAGAGAAGCACTTCAGTTTTATTTCACAAATAGATCTTTCAGCAAGAGACAGATGCTCAATGTCTTAATCTCTCTGCTCTAATAAAAATCAAACTTCTGTAAGATTTCAAAATAGTTTTATATGCACTGTAAGAAATAGCATAAAAATTTGTGTTTGTTATTAATCGCCAAAGTATCAGGAAACATGAGTAGTCCCTTGGGAGGCTGAGTTAGGGGAATGGCTGTGAGTCTGTAGCCAGACTAGGCTACAGTGTGACTCTGTTAGAGAAGGACAACAAGAAAGATGGGGCAGGGAGGAAGGAGGGAGAGGAAGAAAGGAACCAGGAATAGTCACTTTATCGCATAATGAAGGCACCTGGGATAATGCCGCTTCATAAATAACACAGACTTGAGCATAGGCACAGGGTAAGTTATAACTAAATTACAAGGACATTTTTTCTGTTTTGGTTTTCTTATATATCAAATGGAAGTCATGTCAGGTGTCATTGTCCCAAAAGAATTGAGCTAAACTCTCACTTTGTATGATGCTTCATAAACTTTCTTTCTACCATTTCATTTGCTAATAATGAGATGCTAAAGCAAAAAGGAAGATGCTAATTGCTTGTTGACAGTAAGTGGTGGCGCACGCCTTTAATCCCAGCACTCGGGAGGCAGAGGCAGGCGGATCTCTGTGAGTTCGAGGCCAGCCTGGTCTCCAAAGCGAGTTCCAGGAAAGGCGCAAAGCTACACAGAGAAACCCTGTCTCGAAAAACAAAAAAAAAAAAAAAACAAAAAAAAAATATAAATAGTATCATGAAACAATATTTATTTAACTATCGGCATTGCATAACAAGCTGTTGTCCCACAAGCCTTGATGCCATGGGCTGTAACACATTCAGATGCCTCCAAGATGTCTTCCCGTAAGAAGGCATTGTTTCAGAAGTCGGGTACTGGGTTCCATGTCAACTTACTACTTCAGGATTCCAGTATTATTTCTATTATTTCTTGTCTTTATATTTTAGAAACAGAATTGGTGCCTTAACTCTATCTTAGAGGTCAAAGAGGAAGAAATTATAAACACTTAAAAGTCCTGAATCTTAACTTTTCACTGGAGACTTTTCAAAGTTGCAGCTGAAAACAAAGCTGAGTAATACCATTCTTTCTTGTATCCTCCCAGACTCGAGGTCAGTGCCATGGAACTGTTAAGGGGGTGGGGGGAATCAAATGAAAGCCCTTCCACAACATGAATAAAAATCGGAGGGAATTTTCTGGTGGATGAGTCAGCTTTCCCCAGAGCATTTTAGAAGGACCCTTTGAATCTTCCTGTGTTCCTAATTTTAGTTCCTTTGTAGAGAATAAAGTGTTCTGTAGACATAGAAAATGACCAGGAAAAAAATCGCTTCTTGTAGTATAAAACAATGGAAAATGAATTATTGTATTAAATTCAACATTTTTGAAAAGCTCCTGAGCACAAAGTGGTCTACTCTCAGGAGTTGGCGACAGGAGAAGGAAGGCTGATAGAGCGGGAAGGTGGACCAGAGTTTAACGCTGTGCATCTCCATGTGTAAGGAAGGTTGGCCGACTGGGAAGGTGGACCAGAGTTTAACGCTGTGCATCTCCATGTGTTTTCTTAAGTGCTTTAGAGAGAAATTAGTTTAGTGTTTCTGGGATCTTTAGTAAGTGTGCCCTACTGACTCTGATAGTGTAATCATTTGATAAGTATTACTTTGGCAATTTTATTTTTAGAATAAATAGGCAGTGGATGGGCTTTTGAAGTCATAGTGCTCATTCTGAGACAAATGTAAATGCGTTAATGCTAGAACACTTACATAACTACTAGAAGAGTATTTGCTGGCTCTTCTTGGTGCTGTTATAGGAAAATGAAAAGAAGTTACTGGTGGTCTGTGCAGCCCTCTGCCTGTGATGAACTTGCTAAGAGCTGTCACTGCTACTCCCTCGTCAGGAGAAAGGAGTCGAAAACTCAGAATGATAGTTGTTTTTGTATCAAATGTGGATTGAGTTTCCAGCCTTATTGGAAAGTGCTTGTTTAATGTTAGAACTGAACGTGGAGTAGTTAACTATTGCATGTAAATTAGATTATGTTATCCTACTGACGGAAGATTTTGAGAGAAATGTTTCATAAGACTTTTTAAATATCAATGATCATTAGACAGATTACTCTGTTCTTCTGATCTTGCAGAACATATAGAGCTATATGTTTAACCCCTGACCCTAGTTTATGAGAACACAAGCAACCTAAACTGTATTATTTTTGTTTATTAAGATAAGAAGTTATATGAATTCATAGGAAGAAAATTATGTGAAATTATTTGAATAAAATCTTAGAGATTTACAAATATAATTGATTATCTTTTTTCAGATTATGGTCTGTTTGGGAGGTTTTTTTTAATCTTATAAGCTGTTTATGATGTGATATATTTAAACACATTGTACCTTTTAGTGCAGTTATAATACAATTGAACTTACATCAGACTATTTTTAAAGGTTTGAACTGCAACCCTAAGTCCTAGATATGAGTGATTTTTAAAAAATAATAATGCTTTGCTGTTAAAGATATAACTATTTGCATCTCTTTAAAATAAATACAGTGAGCTCTTTCTTTCTGTATTTATAACTACTGACTTATTAATAAAAGCCAAATGTGTTGTCAGAGAGACTATTGAAATAATGAAATAATGAAAGATGTGTATTATTTATACATACCATGAAAGTATTGGAATATATTGCTTTTAACAGGTGTAGGCCCAAAAAGGCTCATTATTTAAGCATCTATGCATTCTTCTGTTCAGTTATAATTGAAACACTATGTCCTTGGTAAATGCAATCACCTTTCTTCTCATGTTACCAAACTGCATCAAATAAACTTTGATGTATTACTAATAAGTAGTAATTATTGATGGGAAATGGGTTAGTACTGTGGACTATAAGATTTAATCCATCAAAAAAAGAAGTTTAAAATATATTTAGCACTTCCAGGGGAGGTTATTTACACTTAAGTGGAAATCTGGAATCCAGCTTTGAATTTACATCTACCATGCTTTCATTTCTTCTGATGGTAGATGAACTAAAAGTGCTAGTATTTCTCTATTCTCTTGTTCCCAAGTGAAATAGTCATGTTGAGGGGGAAATGGTTAACCTTAAAGTGGTGAGAGTGAGCTTGCTCCCAGTGACTTCCCAGCTTCACGGTCGGATCAACAGTGGTTTCCGTCTGCATGCATGGTGAGATTATAACTCATCTTTAGTTTTGTGGGGGTAGTGTTGGGTATCTGCCTTTACCTTAAATGTGAATTTTTCTAGATTGTTTCTCTTTTACAGCAGCCATGAAATTACTGAGCATTAAGTAGAATTTGATAAAATTAAGATACGCATTTTAAAAACTAGTTGTAAGAGTGAAACCTGAGCAAGGGGATGAGGAGAAATGATTAGGGAATGTCTGGTTTAAAGGAATCAAGAAAGGAAAATTTCTAAATGTTGCTTAATATGCTGATTGAAGTTACTGACTACATAAAATCATACAGAAGGCATATAGACAGATCTGAACTTGGATAAGCTATGCCCTTGGCATTTTGAGCAATTTTTATAAGATAAACCAAGGGTCTAGATGATGGTTTTGTAGAGTGCTTTTATGGCTGAAATCCAGTAAAAATAAGTGAAGAATGAAAATGCCAGTTTAATAGTAACATTAAAAACTGTTCTGACTAGTGGCGTTCAGTGCTTTCCTCAGGGTTAGGTAAATCTAATTGTCTTAACTGAAAATGTAGTAGTGAAACTTAGAAGTAATTGTGTCATTTTTCTCATCACTACAGTTCTTATAAATTCCCTTCCAAAGGACCGTAAATTCATACTGAGACTGTCATTGGAATAAACTTAAAAAATCCATTTATTAAAAGTTCTCAAATGCCTTTTTCTTTCTTGACTGATTTTAATTTTGTGATGAAAAATAGCAGATATTTAAATGTCATTAGAGACTTTTCTCTAAATTTCATGGGGAAAATATTATAAGTAAATACATTGTTATTGGTAGTTATGTTTATGGTAGTTAATATTTTTCATTTATCTAACTTTTGCCTACTTGTTTTTTTTTAAGAAATTTTTTATTCATTTTACATACCAATCAAAGTTCCCCCTCTTCCCTTCTCCCACCCCTCCAGCCTCCCCCTCTCAACCCACCCCCATTCCCTCCTATAAGAAGGTAAGGCTTCCCATGGGGAGATACATTTAGTATAGGCAGTTCCAAGCCCCTCCCCCTGCCTCAAGGCTATGTGAGGTATTCCATTATAGGTAGTGGGCTCCAAAAAGCCTGCCCGCACTAGGGATGAATTCTGATCCTACTGCCAGCCCCAGGCCACCACCCCCCTACCTCCCACCCCCGCCCTCAATCTTACACAGCTGTTTTGCTATACAGAGAGCCTGGTCTAGTCCCATGCAGGCTCCACAGCTGTTGATCTAAATTTCATGAGTTCCCACTAGTTTGGTTTGGTTGTCTCTGTAAGTTTCCCCCATCATGATCTTGATGCCCCTTGCTCATAGAATCCCTCTTCTCTCTCTTCTACTGGACTCCTGGATGTTTGGCTGTGTTTTTCTGCATCTGCTTCCACCAGTTACTGGAGAAAGTCTCTATGATGACAGTTAGGGTATTCATGGGCAGTGGATGGTACAGATGGGGAATGAAAACAAGGGAACCGGAGGTTTGAGCTGGAACAGGGATAGAGTGGGAGAGCAATGAAAGAGATACCATGATAGAGGGAGACATCATGGGGATAGGGAGAAACCGGGTGCTAGGGAAGTTCCCAGGAATCCCCAAGGATGACCCCAGCTTAGACTATTATCAATAGTGGAGAAGGGGGAGGACAGGGGAGTCCCTGGCTGATATGTAAAATTAAATTAAATTATAAAATAAAAAATAAAAAAAAATAGTGGAGAAGGGTGCCTGAACTGGCTTACCCCAGTAATCAGATCGGAGAGTACCCTAACTAGCCTACTTATTTTAAAGTGATGCTCCTAATTGAGTCTTTTTACATTTGTATACTTTGTGTGTATTTGAGTGTTTGGGGGGGGGCATGCATGCCATGGCAGGCACATGGATGTTAGAGGACAACCCTTGGGAATCAGTTATCTCATTTCAGCACATGGGTCCTGGGGACTGGACTTAGGGCAGCAGGTTTGGTAGTGGTTGTCTCTACCCACTGAGCCATCTTGCTAGCCCAAGAATTGATCTTGAAATGCTTTTACAATAGGCTAATTTTAAACTTGCATGTCCTCCATTTTTAAAAAATATCTAGATCTTTCAAATTTGCCACTTATCTTCAAAGTAGGCTCTAATTGCTATCATCCATTGCAGACCTTAAGTAGCTCAGTTGTCCAATGGATTTCCTTGAGAGTGAGTCTGACAGACAGCTCACCTTAAGTTACCTTTAGTCTCCTGCTGTTTAGACCTCACTAATGTTCAGTTGAAGATTACTCAGTGCTCTTCAGAGGTAGCCTTAGCTTGCTAAATATCCAACTTTGGGAGGGGTACTCATAACATATAACCCATTTTTTTAATTTTATATTGTATGTGTTGATGGAACTAGTTAGTTATGTGCTTTCTGAAGAGTCTTTTCATATTTAACACTGAGGAAGTTGTGAGTTTGAGTGGTAATTGTCTTAATTGGTCTATAAAATGGAAAACCAACCATGTAACTTATTTACAGCTGGAAGGCAGATAGACCTAGCTGTCTACTGAGAGGATTCAAGGGTTACTTGCCATTGCTCTCTAGGGCACGCTGTTAACATGCACTGCAGGATGAAGGCCTGCAGTGTAATGCTTTAGTTAATCTCCAAATGCAGAGGAAAACCACAGCTATTTTTTTTTTTTGAAAAGTAACAAAAGGCAACTATAACAGCCAGGAAGTATTGATAAATCTGTTTTGGTGGAAGAGTTTTTTGGCTGCCAAATAAAAGTATTCTTGAATTAGCATCATAATGTACAAGAATAAATGATACATACTTGATTATGAATTGGTGTGTCTGGTCCTTCGTTATGTGAATAAATGCAAAATGGTTTGTGCTTACTCCTATCTCCACCAAAAAACAAAACAAAAAAGTGCTGGTGATTGTTTTTTTCCTATTATTTTAAAAATACTTTTTTTCAATACAAGGATCGAAGCTCGGCCTGACACTGAGGAGGCATGCCGTCTACCCTAGAGCAGTAGTCTCAACCTCCAAGCCACCTCCCCCTTTGAAACATCCAATAGGGACATTTGAAATATCAAGGAACATCAAACAAATTAAAGTGGAAATGTAAATTGGGGGGAGAGGAGCGGGGAGCTTCTTCAAATGAGTTTGGGCATTTGACATTTCCAGATAGGTTCTGTGTGCCTCAGAATTCTAGGACAATTGTAAAAGCATATTACCCTGCAAATTTGGTTAGAAATTGGGGTTACCTACTCCTGTGTACAATAGTAATGACAAAATCACAAGCATGTCCCTTTGTGTAACAGAAAACAAAGTTGTATTTTGCAAAATTTACCTAAGATGGGCTACACATACATTTTTGGTTTATAATTATTGGAATCACTAGTGTATAAGGAAGAATATTTTATGGGGAATTTAGTTATATGGATTTTGTTTCTCTGGTGGCTGTAAAAAGGCATCTTGAGAAAAAAAAAAATGGCATTTCCTTCCCCTGCCTTCCTTCTGTGATCCAGCTGTCTTTGTGAAAACTAAGGTGCTTCCTGTAATGCAAAACACAATTAAAAACTGTTGGAACAGCGACGTGTGCTCCTTTCTGTACAGATTTAGCTTTTCTTCCATACCTGTCACCACTAGAACCCAGGCACAATACAATCCTGTAACTTGATTGAAGCCAATTCGAAGCTAGCCTTTGACCTCAAGATTGAGCCTACGTTAACTTTCCTCACTAGTAGTAGTCACAGCTCCCTCCAGCCAGAGCTCAGGCTTTCCTCAAATCAGTCTTCCTGAGAAGTAGTGTGGTTTGTCACTGGCTCAATTTGATCACTTTTCCCTTTGAGGGAACACGGAAAAATACAGAGTAGGGAAGACCTTTATTGCCCTTATTTTGATACATATTGAGAACACATTGACGTAGCTATTCAACTAAAACTCTCTGTCCAAAACAATAAGCCTATTTATTGATGAGCACAGAATATTGAGTACCATTCTGTTGCCTTTTTAAAAATATAGTCCTGGGACTGAAGACTCAGCAGTTAAAAGCACTTAACTGTTCTTGGAGAGGACCTAAGTTGATTCTCAGCAGCACATAATCTGAAACTCCATTTCCAGGGGATCCGGTGCCCTCTTTGGCCTCTGTGGGCATTATATGCATAGTACACTTTTCATACACACAAACAAGCACTTGTACATATAAAATAATAAAATCTTGTTTTAAATACCTTTTCCACTTCATTCAAAGATATACAGAACTATCTTTTTAAATTGTTTTAACAAAAATACTGTTTGTGTAATACAACACTTTGGGGATTTTTATAGATTTGTTTAGCTTTTATATTGTTTTCAGCTTAGAATGAAAATTTGAACAAGTAGAAATTAGAGACCAATTATATATTTAGTTGCCTCATTTTGTGTTTTTTGTTTTTAGATGTTTTGTTTTTCTTTTCCTCCTTTTAAACCAGAACCCTGAAAAAAATGCAGATGGATTCCAGCAAACCTGTCTACTTTGGGCATTAATAAACGGGTTCCAACATAGAGATTGTCTCGGTGTGTTTGAAGCCTCACATTCAGCTAGAGTAGCTTCTCATGTGACTACTGTTACACTAGTTGCCATTGGATGAATGTGGAAAATGAGTATAAAGTTCTCACAACAAAAGAAGGGGAGTACTTTCTGCTGTATTGTTTCAGTGAGTTACAGCAATCATCCTTGGAAAGGGAATTAGACATTTTTTATTATATTTAGGTGGTTTTAATTCAACTGAGCAGTTAGAAAAGACTGACTCCACATCCTCTAATCAGACCAGTGACTAAACATCTGTGCACACACACCTTTCCAAACCCCCAAACGCAAGCATGCTTTCATTTAGTGAGAGCTGAGCCTTTTTGTTACAAGTGTAATACTGGCTGGCTTGTATTTGAATTCACCGAGTGCTTTATACTCTTGTTTTTTTTTTTTGGTTTTTCGAGACAGGGTTTCTCTGTGTAGCTTTGCGCCTTTCCTGGAACTCACTTGGTAGTCCAGGCTGGCCTCGAACTCACAGAGATCCGCCTGGCTCTGCCTCCCGAGTGCTGGGATTAGAGGCGTGTGCCACCACCGCCCGGCCTATACTCTTGTTTTTAAGCTGAGCACCAAAGCACTACTACTCAAAAGCATTGTAAGCAGTCAGGCTTGCTTAAGTTTCTAAATACATTATAGCCTTGGAATAAGGCTTGCTATTTTTTGGTTTCAATGTTGGACATTTTTGGATTTTGACATCAAAGTGGGAAGTTCCTGTGGCCCTTAGAATTTAACTGCTTAAGTTCATCACTGACCTGCTCATCCCAGCACTTGGGAGGCTGATTGCAAGTAGAGGCCAGAGTCTTGTTAAAACTTAAGGAAACTTATAAAAAGTTACTTCCATAAACATACCATTTAAATTTATCTGTTTACAAACTCCAAATTTGGTTTGAATATACTATCAATATACACATACACTATAATTGCCCTTCTCAGAGTTATACAGTAGGTATACAATAAATGTATCACAAGTCATGTAAAAAATTATCCTAGTGCCTTGAACCCCTACCTCTCAAGAACCTCTCAGTTTGAGTCTGTAACATTAGCAAAATGAACTATTAGGTAACAATATGTTAAAGTGTGTTAAAAAGTTACAGAATAGTGAGATGTCTCAATTATCCCAATTAATGGTGGCAGAATTCTTTCTCTGTAAAGAATTATAAACATCTACCCCTTGTTAAATGATCTCAACGACAAACCCAAGCATCCCACCAAAGTTCAGCCTGGTGAACCAATGAGTTTATCAGGGTAACTATCAGGTGAGTGAGGGGTCATCTATAGGGGTACGGATGACCCCAAAGCAATCACTGGGAATTCTTGACCAGTATGAGTTATGGTCTCCCCACTGCTGCATAGATGTAGCCCCTTTCTAAGTAACATACCCCCACCTGTGCACTCCAGTACCTCTTTAAGGCCACATGTAATTAGGGCAGAAATGCATCCAAACAGCTGGAATCTCAGGCCCACTGGCCCTCTATACCCACTCCTTTTATGAGGGTCAACTGCAGGCATGACTGTGATGGTCTTTTATAAGCAGGCACAGTTGATCTAACGAAGATGGCAGTTGTTTTGCCCAGAGGACAGCATTCTACAACAGTGGCTATAATTTGTAATGTCAATAGAGACTGTTAAGCAGTTTACAATGTCTGTTAAATTTAGCAATGCAAATAGATGTTGAGCCACATTCAGTCTCTTCATATAACTTAGAATATTTGCTTCAGATATCTCTGAAAACAAGTGGATTTCTGAGTTCAAGGCCAGCCTGGTCTACAGAGTGGGTTCCAGGACAGCCAGGGCTACACAGAAAAACCCTGTCTCAGGGAAAAAAAAAAAATCTAATCGGTGGTTGGGAATTTAGCTGAGTGGTAGAGTACTTGCCTAGCAAGGACAAGGGCTTGGATTCGGTCCTTAGCTCTAGGGGAAAAAACAAAAACAAAACCCTGAAAACCAAGACATATGTCTTAAATTTAAAATGCACCTATACAAGAAAGTTAAAATACTACTTGGCATTATCTGTTTGGGCCTATAAATATATTGATTTCTGAAAGCATTGAGGACTAGCTTGAAGATGCTTTATGACTCCAGCTAGTTTTCTCTGCTTCATTGGATGCTTACCATGCCAAAGGTACTGAGTTTATACCATAGTCATGGTTGTAAGAATAGCCCTGCTCAAATCAAATATGTTTCCCTAAGTGAAATATTAATGAGCGTACATGCACCCAGTAATCCACCATGCATCTCTTAACTCAGAAAAAAAATAGTAATTTTACATAGAAAAGATTATTTTCTTTTGTATTTAATGCAGTGAATATGTAGTCAACATGTGAAATCTTACACAATGAAACAAACAAAACTTAGTCATCTCTTAATGGTTACATCCACTAGGTACATCTGAGGTTATAGAATGTCAGGCTTATAGACATTTGAGTAGACACTGTCAGCACAGAACATAAATCTCACAGATATAATCAGAACTTATACCAAACAAATGATCTCATCAATAAACTTTGTAATAGGTCAGCTTCATAAAGTAGTATGTTTTTGCAACAAACAGTGATGGAATGCAGATGTAAGCATGTCATTTTAAACATAATACACTAAATGGAGCATATTGAGGTGAGGTCAAAACCTTTCTGTAGAAAGGTAATTTAGTCAGCATTCTTGCAAGCATAGTGTATAAACATCAAAATAGTTCTATTGTAAGAAATAGTATTTAACAACTTATTTCTAAAATAAAAATACTTTAAAAATCAGCTTTGATGAGATTTAAAGAATTTCTTTAGAGTGAAATATATATTTCTGCTTTTCTACATTCTTCATCCTACCCCAGTTATTTATGAATAGCAATTAATAAAGTAGTGCAAAACATTGTCTGCAGCAATTTCCATTGAGTTTAATTCCTTTAACAAGTCAGTGAAGACATTCTCACTGACCAGGTTGTCTCTGCAGAGATATGTTCCCTTGATAGACCCTGGAGTTAGCTTTAGGAATGCACTGTTTAAGGATCGAGTGTGGTTAGTGAAGTATTTTTAATGATAACCACTCTAAAAGCAGTTTATTTTACAAAACAGGTTTTCATGCACTATCAGTGACCTTTCTTCATAAATGATGTAATGAAACACTGGCCTTCACTTTGTTCACTGCACTCTCTACATTAAAACTCAATAATAACAAAATTCATAGTACACATTAAAGCATGTGGGCAGCTAGTGAGAATGCAGATGCTGGGTTTTGTTTTCCCCATGAGGACACTTCAGTTTTGTTTTGTTTTGTTTTAAGATGTGCAATGGTGTAATTTGACACCAAATGCAGTATGGATTTAGTTTGCTAGTATTTTTGACAACTGAATTGGCTTGCTAATTTGCTAACTCAGTATAAATTAAATAGTGGTATATATAAAAATCCTGGTACTCAATCATTTATAAACCTGGCAGTATTTATTTAGTATAGTTCTGGAGAGATTTTAAGGTTTTAGATGGAATGATAGAAGGCTTAAAAGTTTTATTCATAAAATCTTAGATTCTCCTAAGGGATTGTGTGTGTAAGGAGACAGCAAAATATATGAATGTGCCTGTACTCATGAACTTAAAATCAGCCTTAGCCATACATAAGTAACTTATTTACACAGGAGTGAAAATCAGGATGTATGTTAAATTGAAATGCAACATTTCCATTATTCAGACTTTGGAGTTCCCCCCTTTTGAACTGAATAACCATAAAAAAAACTAATGAATTACTTTTCAGATAAGAAATAGTCACATAACAAGAAACCTAAAGATCAAATCAGTATTTATATTTTATATAGGGTTAATCAGAGTACAATTGAGCATTTAATCTGATATTCTGGTTCTTTCACTTGTAATTCAAGAAATATGTTTCTTCCAGTTTTATAACCATTATTTTTACTCTTTCAGTTGGTTATATTATCTATAGCTAACAAGGCTTCCACACTCCACTAGCTAAAATCTTTTATCAAGTTCAGACTATACAATGGAAGTATATTTTCAAAGACATATTCCTTTTGTACACTATTTACAATTTTCTCGATCGTGATAAAAAGGGAAAATAAATAAAAAGCAGAAAGAAAGGAAATGCTGCGAGGCTGAAGGGCTTTTCTTTTATCTTCCCAAGCATGCTTGTCTCCTCAGTGCTGGAGCTGGCTAGCCAAGGTTGTTTTTCTTCCTTTTATATGGGCTATGAGAATGGTCTGCTTTCAGTTCTTGGTATTGCACCTGTTTAAACAGTTCAGAAAAAAACGGGTCAGGTGGCCCTTCCTGGCAAAAGAAGGAAAAGCTTAGGAATGAGAGACTGCTTTGGGTGGGTGGGGGTGGGCTGTGCTGCTCTAGAAACCAAGTGGGAGCTCCGGCTGGTGCAGCAAACAGCAGGGGCTAGAGCCAGAGTCAGGGGAAATCCTGCCAGAAACTGCCTGAAGCCCCATGTGAACTTTGCTAATGGACTGTGACTGTTACTGACCGGAACACAATGCAAAGAAAGAAAATCTATCTCTATTTTTGAAGAGCTGGATAACGGTTCTTTGCAGTTTATTGTTTGTTAAATACAGTCTTAATCTTCCCCCAACCCATTGTTGTATACGAAATGAAAAACTCAACTGACTCTAATGTAAATTGTGATCACTAAAACCTACCCTCAATATTGTGATTAAAAACCTTTCTTATAACACTTTGAAATCAGTCTACTTATATGTGTTTAGCCAAAAGGATTTGTGAGGTATGCTACAGTATTTCAATTGTAAACTTTTTCTCCCTAATCTAAAATATACATTAACATGCATCTTTAAAATTTATTAAATTTATGCAATATGCACAAATAGTTTGTAACCACCGATTTTGCTTTCATCATCTACATTTAAACCAATGTTTTCTCTGCTTACAGCTTGACGATGTCTCTTCGCAAACTCATCTGTGCCTGGGGTACATTCTCCCCAAAAGCCACATGATGACTGACTTTCGATCACCTTTTCTCCATTCTTCATAGGTTTTTCTAGATTAATGTCTAGTTGACTAAATTCCTGCCAAAATCTGCAATGGGCTTTATTAACTTTACCAGGCTCTTCTATGACCTTTGACATTAAAGAGTTTAAAAATTAAAACCCAGTGTCAAACTACACCAAAGTAAGCACAATAATAATGAAATGTACATACCACTTGTACATCTGAAGGGACTCTGGAAAGGAAGTCAAGTAGTTCATTGTTATCAATTGCATATGGACTCCGAAGCTTTTTTGTAAATTTATTAATTCCTAAAAAAGTGACATTTCAAACATTATTGAGTTCATTATTGAGTGTGGAGTTAGGCAAAGCACATTTCTGGAGAAAGTATTATGGCGATTTGAACATCAACTGTGTGCTAACCCCTAACCTTGACCAGATGGCCTGATACACCACCTCCTTTCAACTTTCCCAGCTAAATTGCTGCTTGCTTTTTCTCTTTACGATTTACTAGCTTCTTTCCAGTAGGTGAGGGTTTAGGGAAAACAAAAGGGAACACCTAAAAGAGATGAAGAGTGTCTTGCCTTACCAAATTTTCAGTGTTGTGGTCCGAGATGATTTGCTTTCGTGTTTTAGTCATGATGAGTCTTGTCTGCCTACATTTCTAGGTTGAGAATGTTAGGTAATCTATTATTTTCCTCTTTTCCAAAGATATGTTTTAGGGGGCGGAGGTGCTTCTGTTACAAAGCCAGCTAAATGTTTAGAAGTCACATGACTTTGATGGTTGGTTGGTTGTTTAAGTTGAAATGAAAAATATTGCCATAAATTTTTGGGGAAAAGTATTCAGCTTTGCATCAAATCAACACACTGGTGCAAACTGAGGAACAGACCGGGGATCTTCGCTCGCAAAGGCGTTCCTGCAGAGTGAACTTCTGTCACCTGGGCTTGGTCTCTTTCCAGGCAGGGGAAACCTACAGATTGGGTTTCTTAACATTTCAGCAATCACCTACCACTAAAGTAATAGTTTTTGAACTTTTTCGTTTGATGAAGCAAGGCTCAAACATATCCTGTAAAATTATTTTTAAGACAGCTAGCCACTGAGGCCATACAGGTGACCCTAAAACCTCCATAACCAGATGTCTGCCTTAGGCTCCAGTTTCAGAAAAGCTGAGTGAGGAAGGTCAGTGGGGGGAGGGGTTCTTCACCATGGCAATAGTGGTTCAGCAAGTCTGACTCTGAGAAGGTGTGGTAATTCTCTGCCCTAAACTCTTCAATGAAATAGTGTCTGTATTGAATGTCAGAGGAATAAAGAAAACATTAGGGCTTAATAGACTAGAATATGGTTAAAAAAAAAAAGAAAGAAAATTAAAATGTCCTATCTTTTGAATAGGAAAAGTGGTGACTTAATCGAATCTCTATAAATGGTAGAAATTGGGAAAGGAAAATGTAATCACTACTTACTCTGCCCTCCATCTGGGTGCACGCTCCTCAGGCCTCTAGAGGACAGACTAGAGCAGTGAGTCCCCTGGGACTGGAGTCATAGGTGGTTTGTGAGCCATTGTGTGGGTGCTGGGAACCAAAACTGGGTCTTCTGCAAGATTGGTAAGTACTCTTAACTGCCATGCTCTCTCCAGCCCCCAAAACATGAATCTTAAAACTAATTTGGATGGAGACTGTTGTTCTTAATTCACTTTCTTCTAGTATATTTCTTTAAACAATTTGGGAGGCAAAAAAAACAACAAACCCTCTGTAATTCTGTCATTTGCAATGTAAGCATGTTTTCTTGAGGAAAGGCCAGTCTTTCATCCTTGCACTTTTTTTTAGTTTAGCAATCTTTGATGTATGTGTACATTGGTGAGAGGCAAATAGAAAATATTTCTATATGGTGGTGGATTATAAGGACTGAAGATTGGGTTTTCTAAACCAAAAATTTCACCAAGAAAGAAGAAACAGAAGGAAAATTAAGTTTTAGTTCTTCATATTGCTGAAACTTCCTCAATGGGTTCTAGGGTCAGAGGGACTGTTGGATGCATGTGGTAAAATGCATAAATATTAGGGGGAAATTGCCTTTAAAGTAAACTTTTCTGAAAGTGTTCTTACTCAGTGGGCTTTTTGGTTTTTTCCTAAGGCGCCTGTAAATGCTAGTAAGACTTTTCCTGAGTCCTAAAAGTGACCTTTTCAACGGGCAGCTAGTACCATGTTTACAGACACATCCACAAGATAAAATACCACAGCAAAAGGTATATTGTCCTGAACGTACCGCATGGCTTAAAGTGCCTCCAATGGCATTTAAGTGGTGAAAATAAATCAGTGATATCTAGACCAAGTTACACTTTGATACATGAAGAATCTGTACCAGTACATGTTTATGGTGTGATGGAGGAAGTGGTGCCAGCTGAGAAAAATGCATTTTACAGTTAGACCTAAATCTTTATGCCGTGTGATTGTTTAACTGACCTGTCTCTTTTCATCAAGGAATACCTACATGACCATAAATATCGAGAACTACTGATGATATAACTCACCTCTTAAAACAGTTTGTTCTTAGCTGCTAAAATGGGTGGGGAGTTTGTTGTTCTTTAAAAAGCTTTACTTACCCCAGACAAGAACAATGTATCTCAGTGGGATGAAGTACAGAATAACTGTGAACACACAGAGGGCTACAATGGCCAGCCAGCTTAAGAATGGGACAGTCCAGTTGAAAGTACTGAATGGAAAAGTAACAATCAGTAAAGTGAGCACTTAGCACTGCTCTAAACAATGGTTAAAGTGAATGTGGTTTTGACTAACAGTTGATTGTCAGAGGACATAGGTTAGTCACAATCGTTTCATTCATGAACACAGACCCAGCCCCACCATGTTGTCCCAGGGATTTCGTGGTCTAAAGTCATTGCACAACTTGGGTACCTCCCTATATAGTAAAAATATTTTTTTGTTATTTTCTGATACTAAAACTAGTACCCATCCTTGTTTATTTTTAAATTTTATACAATAGGGTGTCATCCTCCTAAAAACCTCCATATTCCCACACTGGGAATAGATGTGTGTGGTAATTGTCTGTAAGTGCAAATCTTGGAGCACTGTGTGAGCCTTGAATTTTAGAATTCCTTTTAGGAAGACTTGTTCTCTGTTCAGCTTTGTTTTAAATGGAACTAGAAATCAGGGAAGGAGGACAGGACAGTTAGCTTTATAAAATGTCACTTGCTGTCATTGCCCTTGCTCAGAAATGCCTGGGCATGAAGAAATAAAGTCTGTGCTGCCTGTGCTCCATGTACCTTGAGCACAGAAGAGCACGCTTTGTCATGCATCTGGGATAAGCTAGGAAAAGAGTCCAAATGGAGGAAGTAGACAAGAGCAGGAGAGCTGGTGGGTCTTCAGGTTACTGCGTAGCTACTGACTGGTAACAGGAAGGCCGGGTCCCAGAAGGTTGTAAGACAGCAGTGGACCCTGACTGGTTGCCTACCAAGCTAGTGAAGAGAGCTCAAAGCTAGCAGGTTCTGGTGTAAATGAAGCATTCGCATGTGTCAGCATACAGTATAACAATGCTCAGTAAAGATAGGCCCCAAATTTAGGGTTTCATGCTGTGCTCTAGTGCTAGGCAAAGGGGCAAGGGAGGGTTACTGCAAGAACAGAGGTGAAAGGAGAGAGAAGGATATGACTTAGTCTTTAGAATTGTGAGACAATTGCATAGAGATACATTTAGGGGTGAAAGGGGGTGGTTTTGTGTAGCACACAGAAAAGTTGAAACTCAGCACTGATGTATACATGGAAATGTATTAAATTAAAAATGTATACAAAATAAAATGCACTATCCTTTGCAACGTGAACAGTACCATATGATGACTCATACTTTTGATTTAAATAATTTGTTCTTTTTAAATTCTGTGTGTGTCCAAGGATCTAGGTCTGCATAATAAAATATTGGTCATGAATAATAAAGAGTAGATATGCAACTCGGAAAGTCCAGGCTTGTCCATCTGGAGAGCAGCCTTTCTTAACTAGTTAGTGGTAATTGTTATAGGCCAGTCATCAAATAGCTGGCTAGTGGGAGGCCTCAGGATATCTTGAACTAATTGTCAGTTACTATCAACACACTATTGCATTTTATATTAGTAACCAAGTACGGTAGCACATGACTGGTCCCAGCACTCCTTTGCTGTCTTTCTAGATCAGCTATGTCCTACAGTTATTGTATCTAATAGGAGACCCAAACTTGGATCAACCTGGTTGCTCTGTTTTTCAGTAACCCTTGGAGTCAGGCTTTTCAAAAAATAGATTTTGTTGAGACAAGTTCTCAATATGTAGCCAGGACAATCTCAAACTCACACTTTCTTGAGGTAGAGGCAGGAGGATCAGGAGTCCAAACTCATCCTTGGCTACATAGTAAATTCAAGGCCAGCCTGGGATACATGAGACACGCACTGTCCCAAAAGAAGCAATCAAACAAAATGTGTGAGTAAATAAAATTATTTAAAAGAAAATCATGTGAGATTAAGAATATGAATTCCAGCTGGGCAAAGTGGCCCCTGTCTTTAATCCCAGCACTGGGGAAACAGGCAAGTGGATCTCTGTGAGTTCCAAGCCAGTCAGAGCTACACAGTGAGAACCTGTCTCAGAAACAAAAATAAACACAAAAGACACGTACACACACAAAACAAAACCAGCCAAAGAAACCAACACAAATGGGGCTGGACCATTTACTCAGCGATGAAGGACATTTGTTTTAGCAGGGGAGCCAGTTTCAATTCTCAGCACCCATGATGACTCACAACCACCTGCAACTCCATCCAAGAGATCCAATGCCTCCTGGGACATCCATGGGCACCAGGCACACATGTGGTATACATACATACATACATGAAGGCACAATACTTAAATAAATCTAAAGAATACTTTTAATTAAGGAGAATTCTTTTATAATTGAAAAAATCTGATTTTTTTCTAAGTGATGAAATATGGCTTATTTCTTGATTAATATTAAACTTGGTGTATATATTTGATCCATACACATACACAAACACACACACACACATATACATATATTTAGACTCATACAGTATAGGTGTTTGATTACCGAAAATGTATTAGGTTAGATTATCTTTCTACCATGACTTCATATTCTTTTTAAGAACAAAGCATGGAAAAGTATGCTATAACACAGGACAGTGTTATTTCTTCAAAGTGACAATTATGACTTCTTTCCAACCAATATGTTCTAAAAGGCAAGAAATTGACAGAACCATCATAAAATCAAGGACTCACAAAAACAAAATAAATTATGAGGAAACTGAATAGTAGATCATCCAAGAGTGACTTGTGCCAGACAGAATGTGAGTTCTGTCAGCATCTCATTCTGAGTCAGAGTCTGTCCCATAAAAGGCCAGGGCTCACATGTCAGCACCACTCACTTCTTTATCCTTTCGCCAAAGGAAGCCACTTCATCTAGGATGTTCTGGACACTGACACAGACTTCTTGGATGGCATAGATTTTATTTATAAATCCTTTTTTTTCACCATCCTAAAATGCAATAAAAAAAGAAATTCTGAATGAGTAAAATATATTGGTTCTTGCTTGATTCTTTGGACTGTCCCTCTCTTGCATTTTTAACATTAAGTAAACTTCATCTCTATATTTATGCAAATGGATATTTGGAGCTCATGAAAATTTCAGGAAAAACGACAGGAGGAATATACCAGATGGCTGCAATTCAAGAAACATGAATTCTATTGCTCTTAAGCTGATGAACAGGAACACGGAGGTAGAGCTATGGGTGGTGTGTAGAAATGAGAAGAAGAATTGCCAAACCTGATGCAAGACCCTCTTGGCAAGTCCAGTCTCGCTCCTCTTCACCAACCCCCTCTCTTTGAGACATGATCTTATATAGTTCAGGTTCCCGGGAACTTATTGTGTAGCTGAGCATGACCTTGAACCCTTGATCCTCTTCTGCCCTCCTAAGTGCTAGGACTACAGGCATGTTCTATCACATCACACTCAGTTTTATATGGTACTGGAGATCAAACCCAGGGCTTTGTGCATGCTAGGCAAGCACTCTAGTAATTGAGCTACAGCCCAGCCTCAAACTCATTTTCTTGATCCCAGCACCTTATTTGGGTCTCTGCATATTTTCTTGAATTTTTTGTTGTTGTTGTTGTTTTCTGTTTTCTATTGAACCAAGGGCTTTGTAAAGAACCCTACCACTGACCTATATCCCTAGACTTGACCAAACAAGTAGTTCAATGGCAGAAAATACTGGGCACAAACAAGACTATCTGGGAAGAGTCACAACTGATTATAAAAAAAATGACTCAGCCTGGCAGGACAAAAAAACTTCTGACTACAGTACTGAGATGCATTAATTGGACACTCCTAGATCAGATACAACAATGCTCAGATAGTCTACAGTCACATATGCTGGTAGCCAGTTTTAACACTTCCTTTTTTTTGTACATACTTCAACTTGAATCTTAAGCGATTCTTGTATACCAACCAGGGAATGGGTGGGAGGAGATTAAGTATAAAGCACCCTGTGCATGGTGTGAACCTAGGAAAATGTGTATATTTTGTAATTTTAGACCCAGAGGAAGAAATAGTGGTGGCCTTTCACGATGGAATTCAGCTTAGTAGCCTGGCATCACAGACACTTGCCTAGGTTGTTTGGTGGAGACCATCCAACCCTGATTCCATGACTCCATTTCTCCATGCCAGCTTGAATGTCTATGGAAATATAGATCCAATTTCATTACTTTAACTTCTTTTGAACACTTGCATACTATGCCAGAACACTTGAGACCTCATGTGGCAGTTAGTAGCTTGCTGAAAGCAGCCAGGAAACTAGGATAATAATGTCATGTTGCACATTTACATACTGACTTTCATTTCAGAAGAGTCCAAACACTGCACTGTGAATACTTGGCCAGGGCTGGCGTCCTGCCACTCTGCCACCTAGAAACCAAGGACAAGTGAATCACAGGTGCAAGGCTTCTTCCAAGGACTACACAGTACTCTGGGATCAACGCCATACAGGCAATTTTATAACTAGATCACAACTGTGGATATCAATCAGTTTTTATTTTAAATTTAATTTCAATAAGAAAAATCTTTTACAATAGTCATCTAATGTCAAAAAAGATTTTAAGAGAGGTAAATGAGGGATACTCTAAACCCCAAAATATGGGAAATAATTAATGCCCATTATTCTCCATTGTATTCAAAAGTCATCCTCCGCTTCCATGGCAGATTGAGATGCATCACTTCTTATGATTTCTCCCTCTTCATTTTACCTAACAAAGAATTAATTTCACCCATGTAATCTTATGTAATTGTACATTTTAGAGAAAGCAAATATCCAGTGGCTCTTTCCAATTGTTTTCAAAACTGTAAAGTTGAGCTGACCCTTAGTGTTCTCTTCTAAGTACCAGCTAAATTCTTTTATGTCTATGAAGCAAAGTGTCCTTATAAATTATTTATTCTGTGTGTAGCAAAAGAAAAAACAAAACAAAAACAAAGCCCTGCAGGACTGGGGTATGTGTCGGTGGTAGATTGCATGCTTAAGATACACACATCCCTAAGTTCTATCTCCAGCACCAAAGAAAGAAAAAGAAGGAAGTTCAAGTGTGCTGTTTGTACAGTAAAAAGTCGACTGAGAACAAGGTTCCTGCTCAGGGGTGTGTTCGTTCACAACAACAGTAAAATGCTTTGGTATAACCTCAAAAATTATGAAAACATAAAAACATGTCTATATTATTATGTAGAATATTAAGGAGGTTGAATGTACAGATTTATTGCCATTTCAACCAAATCCTTATGTTTGGAGTAGACAGAAATGGAGAGAATTTGATAAAGTGTTTCTAAATTTGCTTGGAAGATAAATATGTAATTGATATCAAGACATTTCTATAAAAGGGAAAATGACAGAGCATTTTGTAGACCAGCTTCTTAATTAAAATGAGACACAGATATTGATAGAATGATGTATAATAAGGCATCATGCTGGGTGTGTGCTTGCAATCCCTGAACTCCAGCAGATTACCAGGAGTTCAAGTCCAGCCCTGGCTGCTTGAGATCTTGTCTCAAAAAGTAGGGTAGGGTTTCTTCATATAGAAGGGATTTGTAAATGAGCCTATAATACTTAGGGGAAATTATGCTAAACCCTACCTTAAATGAATCCTGAACTCTATTAAATAGTACAAGACTACATCAATATGTACGTCAAATAGCTCTAAATACATTCCAAACTAATCTTTAAAAGCTGAAAGCTATGAACGAGTTATTAAAGGACATTATAGATATTTACTTACATTGATAGGAAATAACTTTCTAAAAACAAGTACTAAAAAAGTAACCCACAGAGAAAAAACTTGATAGCAGTGATTTCATAAGTTAAAAACTATATCAAAAGTCACCATAAACTTAAAACTTTTAGGCTGGGCTACAGCCAGTGCTATAGTGTGTGCTAAGCATGTGTGAATCCCTGGCCTTGAGCTACAACACTACCAAAAAGAATTTTTAAAGGCTGAGAAAAAAATAGCAACAAATATTGCAAGTGATGGGATGATCTTCGCAATATGCTCACCCAATAAGCACCTGCAAATATTTCTGTTGCAGCTTTCTTTATAAATTAAAAAAAAAATCATTAACGCATTGGCTACAACTAGTCTGGAAATCAGAAAACATTCAGTTTTTAATGATGAAATGCTTATGATCATAATCTATTTCAAATAAGTGAAAAATGAATATGATACATAAATTCTAATTTTTTAAATAAAATTAACATTTTATATTTAGAAGCCCTCCCCCAATATTGAAGAAAGTTAAATGAATTACAGAACATGGTTTTACTTTGGCTTTTCTATATTTTGTACTTTAATAATCTTTAAGTAATTTTGAAAAAAAAGATGCAAATACGTGTTCACTGAGTACTTTAAAATGCTTCTCATATCCCTAATTCAGTCCTCATAGCCATCTTATAGTATTTTTTTCTCCATTGCCCATGAGAAACTAAGGCTCAGAGAGAACTGATGGGGCTTGAACTGGGGCTATAACTGGTAAACTTCAGTCTCTTCTCTCCAAAGCTTTTGTAGAAAGAGGGGGAAAAGGAAATATTTATTTGTATAACCCATAGCCTAGCCCTGAGTCTCACCATGCAGCTAAATTCTTCAGCAAGAAGATAAAGTCCAGAAATGTCATTCAAGGGTAGGAAGTGAAGATGTGTTAGGAATCACCAGGATTAATGTAAACAACATGCCCGCAGTACAGGATCTCCAGCAACAGGATGTGTCACTGAAGCCATTGAAAAGGGCAGCTTTGAATACTTTAAAAATTCAAATGCTGATGTATAATTTTGTGTATAGATTCCTAAAATGTGGCTCAGCTGACACAGTTGTTTTTGTTTTGCTAGTACTTTAAGCCCACTGCCACCCCCACACCCCGGCCTTCAGAGAGAAAGTAAGGTGGGCTTGCCGTAGGTTGGTAAAGTTTGGGGAAGCAAATGCATTGGGGTAAAATCTTTACTGCAAAGTCTCTTCCATCAGATTCTATATTCCTCTGCTGTGGTCTCCAGCCAACGAAGTAATTACTCTTTATATACAGTATATGACCCAAAACTGCAATGGGTAATGGAATTGCTCTATGTTGCATTCCAATATTTCACACTTTCCCCCTAATGTTCAATACTTTATTAGTAGGGAATAAATTGGAACATTTCTTTTATTGTCATTTTTTCTTTCTTTTATAAGCCAGTTTGGATGAAAGAAATACACAGAGTAGTTAATCATCCAAAGGCTCACTAGTGACATTGATTTTAAAAAATGATTAGTATTCCTTTCAACATGTAAAAAATGTTACCCATGGAAAACAGTTATAACTCTAAATCTGAGAACATGTGAGTTTTAAATTACATAACTTCTTCAGATTCTATGTAATTTTTAATGTTTGTTTATCAGGTTCAAATTGTACACAAAACATCAATTATTGTGAAACTTGAATCTTGATTCTCTAATATTTGCCTAGTTTACTATCACATGGTATAACAAAAAATTCACAAGATTCTTCCCAAAAGAGTAGCTACTTCTTAGCTTCGAGAATTTAAGAAAAACTGAAAGACCAGGTAAAGACTGACTGGTCACACTTACATATGGAGTGAATCCTGCTCATTGACTTTGCAAGCACAATGACAGATTGCCCTTCTTCCCATTTCACTGGTCTTGTTCCGGATGAGAACGAGACACCAACATGATAGGCATCAGGGATGTGAACTCCAGGTCTTACTCCTCATGTTGAACTACATCTTGTTCCAGTCATTAATGCATTTAGGGGTCTGCTACAGCGGTCATTGTCACCCTCACTGATGTCATAGAACGTAAGTCTGTTGAACACCTGTGCTGCGCTGATCACAGCAGATGTAGACTGTTTGTTCCAAATATTACTATTACAAAACTGACTGTATTTCACTTTCTAGACTTGACAAAGTGTCTGTCTTGAGTTGAAAAAGAGGCTGGGGTAAAGAAAAGAAAATAAAA